CTGTCTGCCCAAGATCGTACTGTGGTTCCTGGCAGATGACCACAAGTCGGGGAGGGGAGGCATTCAAGCCAGGACAGCGCTGCCAACACTCTCTAACCCCGGCCCAAGGTCTCTGGCCCAGCCAGAGCATGGGGGCTTTCTCTCTGGAGCCAACAGCTCAGTGTCAGTAAGGGCCGGCCCGCGTCAGCCCCAGGGGACAAGCCCCCACGACACACATGACCGCATAGCTCCTGCCTGTCCGTGCCCGACTGGGGACGCCTTCCCAGTCCTTACTCCCAAGTCCACTCTGCACTTGCGTCTCCGAAACACCTTTATGTCTAAGGTGGGACCTGACTCCTCACCCCGTGACTCCTGCCCTCACTGTTTGCCAAGGGACCTCCGCACGCCAGGCACCGCTCTGGACAGTGAAGAAAACACTTGCAGATCCTCGCGCTGAAGGAACTGATCTTCCGATGAGCCCGGCCCCGGTGCCCACAGCCCTGCTGCCCTCGTCTTTCCCTGGCCCCCACTGCCCTGGGCCATAAGACGCAGCTCCCGAAGGCCAACACGGAACTGCCTCTGCGGGGTCTCCGTCAGCCACCGGCCCTGCCCAGCCCCAGGCTCCCCAAGCGCCCCCCTGCCTTTGCACCTGCGGTCCCTCATCCCTGAACGCTCTCCCCTTTTTCCTCCTCTGGGTCTCAGGGCAGGGTCGGGAGCCCCTCTCTGTGCCCCTGGGGGACCCTGCGACTATATGATAGCACCAACCCCACTGCATTACAACTGCGTGCCTCTGAGTCCCACTTCCCTTTGAGACCAGAAGTTCCCGGAAAGCCAGACCGACACCCCCAGCGTTCACAGCATGGCTGCTGGGTGAGCAAGTACACACACAAGCCGACGCAGGACAAGGCGGCCCGGCCGGTGCCCTCCGGGTTTGTGTCCTGCCCGTCCCCATGCCAACCTTCTCTCACACCTACCTGCCTCATGAGCTCCGGGTTGTTGAGCATGTGGCTGATCTCAGGGTTCCGCTCCATCAGCTGCTGCATCTGGGGGTTGGCCATGATCATGTGGCGCATCAGGTCGGGGTTAGACATCATGTCCTGGACCAGGGGGTTCTCCATGATCTGCGACAGCATCTCGGGGTTGGACATCAGCTGCCTCTGCATCTGCTGCTGCAGCTCCATAAAGTTGGCAGAGCCCAGGCCCAGGCTGCCCAGGCCCAGGATGCCCCCAAAGCCAGCTGCGGGGAGGGGCCGGGGTCACAGTCGGCCACAAGCCCCTGCCCCCACCTGGCCACAGCCACTGCGCTCAGGTCTCCCTGAGGAGCCTCGCCTGCTTCTCTCACCTCCCCTCCCAATCCTTCCCCCGGCCCCAGCCCTGCCCCACTGCAGCCCTGCCCCACTGCAGATGGGAGCCCAGTGGACTGAGACCTCTCTGGAGGCAGAGGCTGAGAGCCGGGCACAGCACAGAGAGGGTGACCAGTGGGGGCCTGCTCAATCAGCAATAAATATTCCCCAGCTGGCTGCTGCTGGACCCCCCTTGTCCCCAAACTCCAACATCCTCACCCTGCGTTCTCCACATCCCCAACCCCATTCCGCCCCTCCCTCTGAACGCTCATCCACGCTCCCCTCCTCGGGGAGGCCCTGGCAGACTGGCCTCCTCCCCTGCTTTGCCCAAGCACCAGTGTCTGGAACGCCATGTCCAGGGGTCCCCATCGCCATCCGACCAGAAGCAGGGGCCACGTTTCTGCCTCCTCTTGGCTCTCCCCGCCTCCCTAGCCCCAGACAGGACTGTGCCCTCCTCCCTGAGGGCTTACAGAGTATGGATGCAGTAGCACTGGGGGGTCCCTCCCCAGCCCCCGGGGAGGGACCCCCCCCACTGCTCCTCCGGCTGCCGCTGCCGGCATCTGAAGTGGTACTGCCCGAGGTGGAGGGCTGGGCAGGGGTGGCAGGCGAAGCGGGCGTGGTGGAGGGTGCTGAGGCAGGGTCTGGAGTGGAGGGAGAAGCAGCAGTGGCGGCAGCTGGATCTGGAGCCCTGAGGACAGAGGAAGAAAGTCCTGGCTGAAGTGAACAGGAAAGGGAAGACACGGAGTTCCTTTCGGTGCAGCCCCTGCCCTACCGAGTAAGCCAACTCCGAAGGCATCCACAGGCGGGGCTGGGTGGGGAAATCGGGCGGAGGCAGGCGGCGCTGGGTGGGGAAATCGGGCGGAGGCAGGCGGCGCTGGGTGGGGAACTCGGGCGGAGGCCGAGCAAGGACCACCTGCCTGCAGGGCGTTCTGGGAGAGGCAGGTGAGGTTCCTTTCCCCTGTAGGGGAGATGGTTGGGCTGCCTGGCAATCCCTGAGAGCCACCTTCCTGGGTGCTGGCGTGGCCCTCCGCGTGCAGGTGAGCGACAGGTGAGAAAGCGAGGACCAGATGGGGAAGACAGGCCCAATCAGCAGCTGGATCTGCTCCTCTCCTGGACTTACTTCTGAGGGGTCTTGATGACCAGATGGACAGTGAGCCCATCCTTGATCCCATGCTGGTTCAGTGTGTCCCCGTCCTTGAGGATCTTGCCTGCGAAGATCAGGACCAGCTGATCCTGCTGAGCCTTAAACCTCCTGGAGATCTCCTCTTTGAACTGTGGTCAAGAGGCAGAGGTCACTGCAGAGCCTCCCTGGGCTCCACCCACCAGGGACCCTACCTCTGGTCTGGGAAGTCCCTCTGCAGTCTAGACCCCATCCATCCAGTGGCACTGAGCAGCTCCCTTGTTAACCAAAGAGATGGACCAGTGACAGGCTCCTGTCTCGGCTCAACCCCAGGGTCTCCCAGCCTAGAAGGCCCAGCCAGTTCTCCAGACTCCCTCCTCAGTCCCTCCCTCCAGCTCCCCAGGACAAGGGCGCTGCCTGTGGCTCTCTCTGTCCCAACTCCTTCAGCAGCCTTGGACCCAGGCCTGTCTCTCTTCAGCCTTCGGTTCTAGACTCCAGGTTTCTCTGCCTTCCAGCCTTTTCATAACAACGACAACACACAGACTCCAAATGATCTCTAACAGCAGCAACTACTCAGGAGTTAAGAGTCTCAGTCCCGTGAGATAGATATGAATTATCATCTCCACTTTCAGGATGAGAAAACTGAGGATCAGAGCAGTTACGTGACTTGCCCTGGGCGGACTGGAATTCAGGTCTTGACACCAAAGCCCCAGTTCTTGACCCAACACACGGCCTCTCAGCCAAAGCTGGTTTCAGATTGAGCTCTGCAGGGCAGAGGATGTAAGTTCTGGAATGCAGTCATTTTGTATGGGGGGAGGGGGAGCATGAATGCACTAAAGACTGGCTTGGGGAGATTCAGACTCCCCAAATCCATCAGCTCTCCCCGCAAACCCAAACAAACCAAAACAGGACACTCTCAGTGAAGAGTGCACTTGCTAAGCCAAGGCAGCTTCCAGATCTCTTCCTTCCAACCAGATGGCCCATCTTAAGCCCCGCCTATGAGAAATTCTGGAGCTGCCACCGGGGTGGGGGGTGGGGGGCGGGGGGCGAACACAGGCAGTGCTCCCTCATTCACTCATCCAACACACTTTTATTGAGCACCTACTGCACACCGTAAGTCCCGGAGGGGCCAAGGGCCCACTGTAACCACCTCGATTTGAAAAGGTAGGACGGATACGGGCCGAGGGAAACGCTCGTCCAGCGCCCCGCGCCCCAGCACTCGGGGGCGCCCCCCGCCCGCTCCCCTGGCGCAGCACCGAGGCCGGAGGCCGCCGGGCCGCGGCCCCTCGAATCCCCGACCAGTCCTCGGGGCGCACGCCGCCCTCAGACCCCGAGTCCTTCCCCTCCCCGGTGCAAGGTGCCCCCTCCCAGCTCTCCGCCACGCCCCCAACCCAGGCCACAAGGCGAGCCCCGGCCTCGAGTCCGCCGCACGCGCCGCGCCGGCCGGAGCCCCTCGCAGGACGCCCCCAGCCCCGCTCCTCCCCTCCCTCCCCTCCGAGATCCCGCGGGGCCCCCACCCTCCCCGCCCGCCGCCCCACCGCCTCGGAGCCACCCCTCTCTCCGCAGACCCCTCCTCCGCCACCCTCGCCGCTCGTACTACCTCCTTGACGGAGGCTCGATCGCAGATCACAATTTCCTCCTTGTCCTTGGGGGTCTTGACGGTGACCCGAATGGGGGGCCTGGCCTCGGCCGCGCTCGGCTCCGCCATGCCGCCGCC